AAAATATGAGGATGCTCAGAAAAAGAATGTGGAGTTTCAACAGAAAAATGTGGATGTTCAAGCAAAGTTTGAACAACAACTTGCACAAGCAATGAATGTCATTAACACATTGAGTGAACATGTCAAAACTTTTATTAATCAATGATAGAATATTATGTATCGAATAATGTTTTACGTTAAATTTGTAGCTACTTTTGATTTTGAAATATGTATCTTTTGATGTATTGGATATTTCTTTTAGTTTCTATATAAATACTTTGTTATTTTTTGTTTTATATTAATTGTATTTTTGTAAATTGATATACTAAGTCAAATTAAATAACCGAATTTTATAGAAAAAATGGTATGGAACGATTGTTATGGAATTGACTACAAAAAAGTTGTTACGAAATTTGCTACGGAACGAATGGCTACGGAATTTATTACGGAACGAATGGCTATGGAATTTATTACGGAACGAATGGCTACGGAATTTGCTACGGAACAATTAGTTACGGAATTAGCTATGGACCAAATGGCTACGGAATTTACTATAGAACATTTAGCTACGGAATTTGCTATGGACCAAATGGCTACGGAATTTGCTACGGACCAAATGGGTACGGAATTTGATACGGAACAATTAGCTACGAAATTTGCTATGGACCAAATGGCTACGAAATTTGCTACGGAACAAAATAGATACGGAATTTGCTATAGAATTAATTGTTACGGAATTGTGATGGAAGTGTGTTGTAGTTGAAATGCTACGGATAGACGTCGTAGCAACGGCCACAGCAATATTGCTACGGAACTATAATTTCGTAGTTAAACATTTTGCTACAAGAAATCTTACTATGGAATCCCATTGCCAAATTTCATAGCAACTTCCGTAGTTATTTATGTTTAGCTACGGAATTACATCATTTTGCTACGGAATTTTTCCGTAGTTAAATCGAAATTTTCTCGTAGTGACCTCATGTCTTATAAAGCATCAAATGACGAAGCAAATTCTCAACAACCTCTAGCAATCATGGTATTTGATGAAGCAAATTCTCAACAACCTCTAGCAATCATGGTAACAACTGATAGCTTGCATTCATTATCTTCATTTCATCTCTAATAACAATCAATTACAAATATAGACCTCTCTGAATTATTTGGCACTGACTACCATAAAAATTTATTCTGACTACAATGTGACGTTTGCCTAACATCTATTAATTTCTTTATTGATTATGGCACAACAAGAATAGTTTCTAACCTTTAATTAATAAATCAATTTTTACTTATTTTTTCATTAATTTATAATTTGTGAGAACAATGCACGGTTAGAAAATTAATTACATTTTTATAATAAAAATTCAAAGTTATTAATCAACTATTTTAAATAAATTATTAATTAAGAGATTTTTTTAGTTACATAAAATTATAATAATTGATTTAAATAAATATGTGAAATTATATCACTTTATAATTTGTATTAATTTTATTTTAATTTTTATTTTAATGTTATTAATTTAATGTAGATAGAATGGAAAATTTGAAATTTGAAATTTGAAATAAAGAATCAATAGGGTGATAAATGACAAATATTAATCAGGAGACATAACACGGTGACACATGCTAAAAGAAGAATAAAATATGAATTAATTAAGAGGTCTAATAAGGTGATACGTGTCAATTGGAGAATAAAACTATTCTTTATTAGAATAAGGATTATAAACCGGCAAGATATACAAAACTTAGTATGTTTTGATTTTTTAATTATCTAACCATTGTATTTTATTTAAATCAATTAAAGTAATTTAATTTCAACAAAAAATTCCGTTGTTGTCATTGTCATATTATATATATTTTTTTAACTTTAAAAATTAACATGAATTCGTAGAACTAGTTGATAGTTAAAGTTGGAAGTTGCTTGGTAGTTTTTTCTTTTATTTTTATTTTTATTGTTTAACTGTGGATGTATTAAAACACTAACAAAAAGTTAGAAAGACAGTACAAAAAGAAAAAAAAAATTACAAATTACATACATGAAAAGAAAAACACACCAATCAAATCAACTAATAAAATTAAAATGAGTTCTATGTTTAACCCAATTGAAAACAATTAATTGAATATCATCCGTCACCTTAAGATAAGAGCATCTTTTCTTGTTGAACACCAAGTTATTTCGGGTCTTCCATATGTTCCAAACCACCTAGCACAGTAAGGTTGTACGAAGCAATGTTCTTTTATATATATATATTATATATATATATATATATATAATATATATATATATATATATATATATAAAAGAGGGTTCAATTGATAAAAAAAAGGTTGAGAATGTGGGAATCATTCTCAACCACTCATTTATTTTTGCCGCAAAAGCCTCCGTTGTACCAGCGAAAATGGGAAATGAATAGACATGTGTTTTCCAACAAAACATACTTCCTTAAACTATGCTAATCATTACCTTAATATATACAAAAACATAGTTTTTTTTCGTTTTTTTAATTTTTAAGAAGCTATTTTTATCGAAAAATGATTTTAAATATACCAAAATTCATGGTTTTTTATTCTCTACAAATAGACATCCATATTAATATAGTTTTAAGATAAAATAAAAAATTTAATTTTTTTATATTTTCAGCTATCGTTATTCATAAGTGAATAAAAATGCATCAGGTTTAATTACAGTACATTCGTTATTCACTTATGAATAAAAAGTATGATTAATTTTTTTTACAATTTAAGTATCATTCATATATGAATATAGCATATAATAAACATAGTATATTCATATTTAAATATTAGACGATGCATTCACTTCTGAATATTAACATAGTATATTCACTTGTGAATATTAGATGATATATTCACTTATGAATATTAAATGATATTTTCATATGTGAATATTAAATAATATTACATGGTATATCACATGTGAATATTACATAGTATATTCACTTGTGAATATTAGATGATATATTCACTTATGAATATTACACAGTATATTCACATATGAATATTACAAGGTATATTCACTTGTGAATATATTCACTTATGAATATTATAAGGTATTTTCACAAATATATATAATTTTCATATGTTATTCACATATGAATAACATACAGACTTACATATTTGTTTTGTGTTTTTAATAATCATATACTGATTCATGTGAGAAAACATATTCATATGTGAATATAACGTGGTAATTTATTTTATGCATTTCATCAAACAGTTGGAGTGCATACAATTTAACTATTTTAAAAATGTTAAAAACATGATACTTCCAATTCAAGTTATCAATTCCAAATCATCATATACTTCCGATTTCGACTTCAGATGCGACATCCTATGTCTGATCGATTTCTCATTTTGATTTTGATTTCCGAAAATCCGATTGGGAACCTGTGAGTACCGATTCCGAGTCCTTCAATGTCGACTGTGACTGCGAGTCCAGAACTCCGATTCCAATTTCATGAACAACGAAGAAATTCCGATTCCAACTCAGTTCGTTTGCGAATCTGGGAAATTCCAGTTCCAAATCCGTTATGAACTTTAACAGATGCTTGCAAGCTACGAACATTCGGAGTATTCAACAAAGAAAATCGATGAAATTGATGAATTTGGGTTGCGAATCTGTCTTGAACGGCGAACCTCCCAGCCACGAATATCGATGATTGATTAACACTGGATGACATTGATGATGGTTTAGTTGAAGAAATCTGGATGATTGTTGAAGGTTGGAGAAGAAATTTTGATCATAAACGAACTGTTATCGAATTCTCTATAGTTACGTATTTGAGATTGAAGGTTATTAACATATTTACAAGTTTGCCATCGTGTCTTTTTATGCTTAGATTAAATGAGTGGCTGGGAATGATTCCCCCATTCTCAACCTTTTTTATTTTCTCAATTGAAATTACCTCTACCTATATATATATATATATATATATATATATATATATATATATATATATATATATATATATCTTGAATCGGAGCCTTCAATAGTATATCGTTAGAAGTTGTAATTTTTATTTATACATTAATGTTTGGAAAACTAATAGTTGGCTTTTAAATGTGTAAAAATAATTTAAATCTAAAAGCTTCGGAAATGTAAAAGCTCTTTGAAAAACTACTTGAAATAGATTTTGTATTATGATTTTTTTGTTTAAAATAAATGCTAAAAACTTATTCTGTCAATCGAAGTTTTTTTAGTATTAAAAACTCTCAAAAACTTCGTATCAAACACACCTACTATATTTACTCTACGAAATAACATATTGCTTTTTGCAATGAATTCTTATTTGTCGGTTGAAAATGTTAGACTACTCACATTCGCAACTAAAACCAACCCAACTATCCATTAATTAAATAGTTTCTCTCTCTTCCACATACCCAACCCAACTTCTTAGACTATGCTCATTCATGACTAAAACTCAAGTTGGTTGAGAGAATAATATTAAAAAATTGAGAATGTGAGACAAAACCCCACATCAACCCCCAAGTTGTTATTACTTTTTTTTTAATCCACGTGCCATCCTATCAGTTAACTCTTAGGTTTTTTAGGATAAAATTCTATGCTTACTAAAAATTTAACATTATCCAATTCAGAAAAAAAAATATTGAAAATCGTAATTTTTTTTACTTATAAAAAGAGTATGATATCATATATCTTCATATCCAAACCTCATTTTGTATTTTAATCCCTTTTTATTTGTATTTTCTAAATATGGATGGTGAGTTTCCAAATTTTTATATAAATCTTGGAGACTCTCAAAATCGTTCTAATGCTCACAAATAATCTTCAAACATCACAAAATACTGAAAAACAACCACAAGGAAATAAATGGGATGCTGCAGAAGATGTTGCTTTAATGTCAGCATGGTGGTTTGCTAGTGAAGATAAGGAGCGTGGAAAAAACCATAAAAAAACATCATTGTGGGCATAAATAAAGCAACTGTATGATGCCGCTCGGGTTGAAAATCCAGAAAAGCTAAATAGCAGGAACGAAGATCAAATGAGAGGTCGTTTTAAACGGCTTAGTGAAAATGCACAAAAGTGGGTTGGTGTATATCGGGAAGCATGGAGTCGAAGAAGAAGTGGAATGAGTCAAAAAGATATTGAAAACGAAGCTCATAAACTTTATGAGGCAAGGGGGAATAAGTTCAACGACATTATTGTTTTTAATGAATTTATGTGTAAACACGAGAAGTGGGCTTTAGAGTTAGATCGTGACACAACGCGTTCCCATCCTGAATGTGAAGTGGGTAATGAAGAAAGTGGTGGTAGCTCGAAAAGATCAAGGAGCACTGAAGAAGGGGAGTATTGTGTCCATTCCAACACAGAAACGCCAACTAGTGATGGTTCAACAGTTAAACGTCCAACAGGCAGAGATGCGGCAAAAAAAGGGAAATGTAAGGCTTCTAACGAAATTGTTACAGAACTTTGTGCAATGAGGCTTGCTATAGAAAGTGAACTTGAAGTCATGAAAAAAAGAATCAACTTGGATAAAGAAATGCAGCAACAAAGAATCTGTCACACCCCAAAACCGGAACGGCGGAATCGTTCGGGGGTGGAGGACGTCATGTACAGTATCACAACAATGAATAGTAGTAAACAAGCAACAACATCATTCATTGCATTAATAATATAATTTAATACAAGTGTGTTCTGTCAAGTTTAATAGACACCAAAAATATGAATCAAAATAAAAGATGAGTCTTGAACGAGCTCCATCTTTTCAAAACCTGACACTGGTACCTGTCTACTGGTGACCTGAGAATACAAGTTATTTTGAAAGAGTTTATCAGCTTTAAAGCTGGTGAGATCATAAGTATATTAGTGTCTGTGTTTGTATGAAAGTGTTTGTAAGATGTTTGTAAGATGTTTGAACTCTCCTAGAAATCCCTATGTTTTCTACTAAAAGTAGCCTTCTACCAAGGCATCAAGTGTTGGTGTGTGTGTCTCTTGTAAGAGTATGTATTTTCCCAAATCTGACTATCATTAACCAAAAATATAGTTTTTACATTACTGTTTATTGTGTGAAGGTCACAAAGTGAATGCATTGGGAAAATGAAATAGTACTGTAGCGTTGTATTAAGTAACTACTGATGTACTAACTACCTTAAACCAATTGTTATTTAAAGTACTTATGTGATCGGCCTGTACCATACTACAGACTATAAACACGACGATGTAAGACGTCGGAAGGAATGATGTTTGGCACCCGTAGACTTGCAAGTCCCACTGTAGCGAGCAGCAAGGTGTAGGATAGTCAATCCAGTATAGATCTATACACAAACTCAACGCTCTCCATTTAAGGAGATTCTGGATACAAAACGAGCCATGACAGGTGATGCCATGCCCCGTTACGTGGCTCACATAACTGTATTAGTGCACTTGTGAATGTATTGTATGTACTAGCTGTATTGTATGTTCTCTCTCTGTCTAGTATGTATGTATGTTCTCTCTGTATGGTATTGTATGTACTAGCTGTATTGTATGTTCTCTCTCTGTCTAGTATGTATGTATGTATGTTCTCTCTGTATGGTATTGTTTGTTTCTCATCATAGTATTCTCTATCTGTATGTTATGTTCTCTCTGTATGGTATTGACTCATGTATGAACTGACTCATTGTATGTTTCACTGTTCTAGTAATAGTATTAGTATATTCCTAAACTACACCTATTATAGTTTACTAGTAATATGGTTTGTATGTATGAACATGTTTGTATACCTTTGCTACCCAAAGGTATTGAATAGAAAGAAGGAACTTTTATATCTATATACATATACATAATATATAACTAGGATTCAAACGACCTTCGGACAAACAACCGATACCCTAAGTCCACAACCAAACGAGGAACAGGAGGTAAGGTGAGCTATTAGTCCTAAGTCCTTTCAATCCTACTTATATTACTATATATATATATATATATATATATATATAGATACACATTTAACAGAATATAAGTTTAAAAGAGTTTAATAAAAGTATTTGACATGTAAAAGAGTTTGTAAAACAGTTTAAAGTAGTTTGTTTGATAACACAGTTTGAAAATTAAGAAATCCACTTGTTTGGTAGTTATTAATCACATGTGATTGATATAATTACTATAATAGTTCAACTTGTACCCCCCCCCCCCCCATAAAAGCATTTAAAATCATTTAAAAGGTTGATTAAGGGGTATGAACTCACCTGTAGTAAGTGGTTTGGATGAACGGATGGTATAGGATGCTAAGTGTCAAGTGAAGACTTGAACACATACAAGGATCCTAGTTAACATATAATAACACATATATGTATCCAATTAGTCATTTAACAACTAATTAACCAAGTTAAGACATCCTAGGACATGAAAAACACCTTGATTCAAGGGTTATAAGTACTAAGAATTGCATCTAAGGGTCGTAGGGCCTTGCATTTGAGTTTAGGGTCCAAGGGTAAACTCTTTTGGAGTTTACGGTTTTGGGACCAACTCCCTTGGAGTTTACAGTCGTAAACCCATGAGTTTACGGCCGTAAACTCATGGTAAGTATACCATTTTGTGTTTTAAGGTCTTCCAAGTCATAAAGAAGCATCCTAACTTCAAGTCTAAGCCTTAGGAAGTGATTGTGGCAACATTTCACCCCTTTGTAGAGTTTACGGCCCATGGACCATTTCTCCATGAGTTTACGGCCGTAAACTCTAATGGTCCTTGATGTTTTCGATGTTTAAGGTCCTATACACTTCAAGGATGTGATCTAGACTAGTATCCAAGGCTTGGTAAGGGACTAGGGCACACAATGGCCCTTTCATTAGGGTTTACGGTCCAAGAACATGTTTGGACCGTAAACACCTTTGATCTTGTGTTTCTTTGTGTTTTCTAGTTGATTAAGAAGTGTAACAAGCCTTATAACACACTAGGGTAAGAGTACTTACAATAAAGGAGCTTGAAAGGGTGTTAAAAGTCCAAGAACACTAGTGTGTGTTCTTGGTGAAATGAAGAACACTTGAAGATCTACACAAATGGAATGATTTCATGGATGAAATCTTGTAAGATCACTAGATTAAGGTAGGGAACAACTAATCAAGGAAGAAAACACTTACTTTCTTGAGGATTTTGAAGAAACTTTGGATGATACTTGAGAGAGAAATGGTTCTAGTCTTGAAAATGTGAAAAAGAGCTAAAAATAACTAAGTGTCACTTATATAGTCCTTAGGGTTTACGGCCCTAATACCATTTGGGCCGTAAACTCCAAACTCTTAGAGTTTTGGAACCTAAGTGTTACACAATAAACCCTAGGGCATCCTCTCTCCAGTTATCTGTTACAGTACTAGGCTTTAGAACAGTCAAACTGACTCTACACAGCTCAAAAGTTAGCAGAAACAGTTCTGACTTCTATTGAAGTGAATGGTTGTACAGAATATAAATTTTGGGTTGTCACAGAATCGACTTAGACAAGGAAAGGGAGCAAAAAACAGATGAAAGGGAGCTCGTCAAGATGCAACTTGTGCATTTGAACACACTGCTACAAAAGGAGCATTTATCGCTTGAAGAAGAAAACATGAAACACTTTCTAATATCAAAGTTTTATGGAAACTAATTATCGGTCATTATGTGTTTTATATTTCCAGTTTGTCTTTTAATTAACTTGTAAAATACTTTATTATGTAGTTTTATGTGTTATGTATTTGTTAGATATTGTACTTTTGTATTTCACGTATTTGTAATATATTTTATTAAGTAATGTTGTTTATAAATCTGTTTTGCACATGGAGTTGTCAGTAGGCCACTAGCACACTTTGTCATCTACCAAATCAAATATTATCTTTATTTCCATGACTCACTTTTTTATTGGATGCTTATATTTTATTTAGATAAACTAATAAAAAATTATATTTATTTTTTATCATTATCTTTTAGTATAAATAGGTATATCACTGGCATACTTTGATATCCAACACTAACTCTTTATTTCTTATCTCTTTGAAAAATGTCTCATAATGAAAACTCATCGACTTTTAATGAATATTTGGAATGGGAAGCACGGGCTGTTCAAAATAATCGACAACTCGATGAAATCATCACTGAAATACTCATAGAAGATCATCCTCCCAGAGCAAGAAGGAGGTATTGCGATCGAGAACGTGATCAGGGTGAGGCACGTTTAATGGAAGACTACTTTGTTGACAACCCAACGTATAATCAAGCAACCTTTCGGCGTAGATTCTGTGACATCCCCATTTTCACGGCCAGAAAAGACCGATTTTTTTTATGCTTGTTTGAAAATCAGAGTAACATTTTAAATAACAGTGTTGCGGAATTTGTCCCAAAACAAAATATGATAAAGATTTATCAAAAGCATTTCCAAGGAAATGTATTTCATTAAAAGACCTGGGATGTCATGTTCGATACAGATCAAAAGCATAAACAGTACAATATAAGCCTTACTATATTATTTCATATCTACAGGCCTATATCCGTAATCCCTCATCCAAAACATCACATCTATGCTCGAACGCCACTACCTGTAATACATGAAACTGAGTGGGTCAGGCTTGGGAGCCTGGTGAGCACATAGGGTTTTCAACCCACAATAAATAACTTTATTAAATTCATCAACCAACAATAACCCGATTACCCGTTTCCGTTATCCTCACATTACGTCCCTAAACACTTATCATAAGGGACCTAGACTAAGGATCATCATCGGGATGGACACCACTGCTAAGGGGGTTCCTCAGCAATAAATGTCCTAAAGGCAACCATGAGGGGGATGGAGTACACCGGTGAACACATCGTTCACAAACACCTACAGGTTGCGAGCCTGCTAGCGTTCCACTGGACTGTCTAGAAGAGTCCGTGGTCGTCATCTATACTCCGCTAGATGACTGGATCACCCAACAACATCGAGGCCTCTCATCATTTTATCACACATCGTCTTATTACATCTACCCATGTTTTACCCCAACATTTTTGTAGATATAAAATACATATACAGTTTAAATAACGAAAAACTTGTATAAAATCATTCATCCAACATAGACAACAAGTATTCAGATAATATGCACACATAGCACGTAATTTATATAAAATACTTCATATCTATGTGTAAGATGAAAGTAACTATGCACTCACTTGATTAGGTGGTGACTCGGTACTTGAACATCACTTCGTTATCTCAAAACAATTTTTCCTTGACCAAAACCTAGTATTAATACCACTAGAGTTTAGTTTTAACATTAACCGCGACTAATTAATAGTCTAGCTATTATTATTATTATATAAGCGTTAAATAACACTCAATATAACTCATAATAATAGCCCAAATAATTATTTTAAGGTCCTAATAACATTACTATAATTATTTAAAAGTTATATTAAAAATTGCGTAGGCATAGCTCACTTACAGCGGATTTTAAAGAAAACCGGGCTTTGCTCGGAGCAGCGTTTCCAAACCGAAAGACCATTTTTCTCGGGACTCCGGGAGCCTCGGGGCTTCCCTTGGGTGCTAGGGATTTTTTCCTAGGGTTTAGGGGGGTTAAAGGGGTAGTGAGAGAAAGTAGAGAGAGAAAGAGTTGTGAAAATGAGTGATTTCCTCGGCAGCCTTTGCAGCCCTTTTATAGGCGCCAGCCTCGGACGTACGCGGGGCGTAGTCCTTGGCTT